CAGTATTTTTCTCGTAATAGTTAGAAACAAGAACAAATAAAGCATTTTGGACAGAATGTCTGCATTTTGAACACAGTTAAATCTGATTTAAACAAAACACATTGCCTTTCTTAAAGGTGTTTGGATGGAAGCCAAGCATGCTAAAATATATTTGTCATTTGCTCTGTTACACTTTGTAATAGAAATTTAAACACTGAAGTAAGATCTTGATGATAGTTTCTTTTTTTTGGTCTACACTGCTTGTGGACCCAGTGCTAGATCTACAGCTGTTTGGCATAAAGAAAGCCATTCCATTAATGGCAGAGGAAACATTTGCTGCAGTTCTTAGCACATTCTATGTATACTTTATTGTGTACATATTTCAATCCAAATTGGACACTAAAATTTAAAAAGTATAAGATGAAACCAACTGTAAGTCAATCTCCAGAACTATTTTCCCAGGAAGCTGATCCATTTCTGTGTAATGTTTGAGAAAACTGGACTGCATAATAGACTGGTTCAGTTTTCACTTAATTTCTGTCTGGAGAAATTTAAACCTCCCTCTCAAGTGACTTTCTCTTTAATCTTATTTTTTAAACTATTGCTGCTTCAACTTTTTTACCTCATCCTGTGAGTGAGTCCTTAACTCTCTATAACAGCAACCACTATAAGAAAACTCCTATTCCCAAAACAATTGCAGTATGTGTTACAGAATGTTTTAAAAATACTAGCAATTCCATTCTGCACTTAAACACAATGTGTCTCTCAACTAGTACTCACCTGCATTGCTGTTAATGCTTTGAAAAGAGAAGAAACAGGCTGGCATTTCCATGAATCCACTAGAATCACAACTCCCAAATCACATATCTTCTTCCTAGCAACAGAAAGACAGCTGTGTTTTTAAGCCACCTTCTTTTACTGAGGAAGTCCTATGCTAACAGAACAAATGTACTGACGGTGGGTTAATCTTGAGATAGGTTTTAACTTTGGGTCAGAGTTGTGGAAACTACACTGTCCTGGAAAGCTGTTATTGGCATGACAGTCCCCTCCTTTTACAGCAACTTTTAAAAGGTTTGGGAGAAGGAACACTGACTGTCCCCAAACCACACAGCCAGGAAATAAAGTAGGTATGAAGACTTACTAAAACACTGCTTCCTGATTTCTCTGATCCAACTTCACACAGTCCCTGGAGCTTTACCCTTCGCAACTCTTCCACAACTTTTTCCACTAGCATCATTGTTACAAAGTTTCAGGGAATGTAAGTGCTTTTAAACACATTTTATAAATGAGGAACTCGCTTGCAGAGACTGAGGGCAGGACTTCCACCACCTACCTGCAGATATTTAAAGATTAAGTGCCTAGTCCAAATCAGCCATTTAGATTCTGTATATAACTGGGAGAGGAGAAAAGAGTGAGAGAGAAAACAGGGCAGACACTGTAAGAAGCTTATACTAAAGACTAACATTTTATATGTTAAAAGGCAACTGTATAATCACTCTTTAGATGTGCTTTTCTCCTTCTGCTGACTGTAGGAGCCTAGATGACTAGATTAGCTAAAGAATTCGAAATTAGAAAAGATGAATCCTGCTTTAAATGATTTGTCCCAAAGTTGCATAAGATGTTTGCTGTGGACATGTCTATGCATCCATTCTTTCTAGGATGGTGTCCTACTGCTAATTTATCTTTACTGTGATTCCCCAACCACACTTAGGTGTCCTTTCTTAGAAAAAGCATTTATTGATCTGAAAGAGGGCAGATGTGGAAGGGTGGCTAATACAGCAGGGGCACGATCTAGTGCCTCTGAGCAACCCATGTTTCTGAGCAGTAAAGGAATGTGCTAATAAAGACGCTGAGCAACCCATGTTTTGAGCAGTAAAGGAATGCGCTGATAAAGACTGTTGACGACCTTGACTGCCTCTCACTGAAGGAACATCGCCAGCGGATAAACAGCAGATGCGGAACAACAACCGGGATGGGGAGCAGGCGGGGGTCGGTGTGGCCGTCAGCCTCCAATGAGGAAGGAGTTGGGGGCGCGTGAACAGTTGTTATGAAGCGCGTGAACAGTTGTTATGAAGCGCGTGAACAGTTGTTATGAAGCGCGTGAACAGTTGTTATGAAGCGCGTGAACAGTTGTTATGAAGCGCGTGAACAGTTGTTATGAAGCGCGTGAACAGTTGTTATGAAGCGCGTGAACAGTTGTTATGAAGCGCGCTCCGAGTGCGTGAACGACTGCAGTTAACCAATTGTGGGTTGTTATGAAGCTTGTGTCTGTGGCACATAACTATATAAACCCTGTTGTAAGTCTAAATAAAGGAGGATGACCATACCCATATTGGGATCAATCATTACTCCGGATTCGCGACTCCCGCTCCGCCGCCGGCAAAGATCCGGGAAAACTCCGACAGGCAGACTTTAGGGGTGGCTAAGGACTCTTCTGCTAGGAAAAAAAATGTTATTTTGAAGATAAAACTGCAATGACTGGGGGAAAGTGATGGGAACAAGACAGCAAGACTTTTCAAGGTCTATTTGCATTCAGGATTACTTAAGTCTCTTATGCCATGGCCTGGCACCATCAAGGGACAAAAGTAAATTGCAATTAGAAACAGCCTCCCTTGTTCTGTAGAAAGCAACTTACATGAACCAAAGTTCGTATTTTCATTGTGCTCTTGGAAGCCTATGCCATAATGTTTTTTAAAATCCACATGGACTTCAAGTCATACTTGCTAAAGCTCAGTATACTACTGATTAAATGTTAGTTTGCTCAAATGTCCAAGATTAGGATAATGGACATCCACGATTAGGATAATGGATAATAACTTAAAAGCATTTTTAGTTTCTTGGAAAACCACAGATTAATGCAGAGTTGCCACTTTTTTCTATGTTTTGCATCTGCCTAATTTCTCTCCTAATTCCACTTGGGGGTTTTGGGGTTTTTTTGGGGATATGCAAATGAAATTCCAAAACAAAAATGCAAATGAATCTACGTGAGCTCCCAGAGTAGGGTTGCATTTAACGCCACAGAAACAAATGTTTCAATAAAAATAAAAAAAGAAAACAATAAAAAGCATTGTAGGAGCATTCTGAAAAGAAAGCACAACTGTAAAGAGTAGGGAAGAGAGGAATAAGAGCTGTGGGAACTACAAAAAAAAAAAAAGACAGCAGAAATAGAAGGGGGATAGTATGAGATCCAGATGCAGAGCATATTTAGGCTCACTGACATACTAATGGAACCCTGAGTTTTCATTTCATAGAGAGAACAAGATCTCATCTATCCACAACAGATATGCACCACAACAGGTGCTCAATACTTACCAAGATTTTCAGGTGATATCACATACCACCTTTTTTTTTTTTTACTCCAAAACCATATATATGAAGCATTTTGAGAAGCACTTTGCATGGAAAAGTTTTAAGAGAAAATAAATAAAGCACTGACAAGTTGTATGAAAAAAATCAGTTAATTACAGTAAACCAAATTGCACTCTTAGTTTCCTTATTTTGAAAATAAAAGTATCTAAATAGGCTAATTATCCTACCAAACACATATGAGGATGCCACAAGGAAAAAGCAAAATCTAAAGAATTTTTATTTTTTATCTGCCTCCCCTTTGCTGTGCTTGTAGCTTCTCACAGTGGATAATTGCCCATCACTGTCCAATTTTCCTGGTCTCAAAACAACCCTTAACGACTTTTTAGGTTTTCTATCCGGCATGTCATGCAAAAATTTGTCAGGTCCCTGATCCTTAAAATGTGGACCTTTGACTGACCTGTCTAGAGACCAAGAGTGTCTTGGCCCAGTCTTGCGGTCTACTGTTGAGGGAACTTCATTAGGTACGAGCAGCTTTTCAAAAGCCAGTAGACAATCAGCAGAGCTTATGACCTCTTTCTTTTCATCCTTTGGTATTAGACAACCAGAAAGAAAGTTTCCCTTTTCAGCCTGTTTCTCACAAGTTTGTCCTTCATTTACAACTTCCAAGTCCATTACGTGTCCTGAAGCCTCTTCAGCAAACAACTCCTCTGAACTGAAACTGACATTCATTGGGTTCTGCAGTGCTTCTATGTATGATTTTCTAAATGTCTCAGTTCAAAGCAAG